AATTAATTTTCATTTTGCACCTATTGATTCTGATTTTTTCATAAAATTTAAGCATATTCTAATATTTTTTTCAAATTTAACCAAATATTAGCTGTATTTTGAGAACAATTTTCAGTTAATAAATTAAAGGCATTTTTTATCAAATTCAATGAGTCGGTTCTCACCTTAGACACTTCAGATTCTGAAATTTTTAAATTTCTCGGATCTCGATTTGGAGTGTTGCCTTGTAGTTAGAGTTGTTTGCAAACTGCTTTTGACCCAGGTAGACCAAACCAAATTTTCCACCATTAAGGTTTTATAAATTCTTTTTCACAGCTTCAGTTAACCGTTTGGGTACGAACACCTTATACTCCTCAAATTCAACCAAAGGTATTTCACCAAATTTGCTTACGATCTTAATCGATTTTATGGGGTATTGCTCTCCCTGAACCAATTCTTGCATCCTACGGACTTCTTTTTCAGCCACGACTGCTACAGCATTAACTTCAGTTAAAAATGACATACTAAAAATAAAAAAATAAATAAAAAAATATTAACTATTAAATAGGGTGGGGTGGTCAACAGTGGATCAGTGGTACACAGTGAATCAGTCCTTTATTGGTTAAACCATTGTACGTATGCGCTTGCGCGAGATGCACGTGGTAGCCAATGTGATCCCTGTTTGACTTACCTCACAGCCGAGCGGTTCCGTTGATGTTTAACAGTTGTATTTGTGCTTTACAGCCTTTATTTCTTAATATCAGGTAAGTCGAACTTTTTGTATAATTTTATAAGATCTTCTTTGATAGAGTTCTGGTTGTTTTCATTGTTTTAAAAAATAATTAACAAACGTGAGGGCACGTGAATAACAGGTCTTATTCAATTTATTCTGTCAAAACAACAATTTGAAAATTAAATGGCGGGTTGGTCTACAGTGAATCATGATCCACTGTGTACCTAACATTTTACATTTAAATATTTTAATGCAAAATTTTGTTAATATTTTTATTATTTATTATAATTTATTATAATTTTATGTATTACAATATTTTGTTAATATTTTATTGCAGAAAATGCCTCGAAAAAGTTTGGAGAGAAAGGTTGGAAAGCATACACAGGCCCAGATAGAAACCGCCTTTCAATTAATTCGAGATGGTTCGAGTATCCGCCAAGCTGCGAAGGAAGTTGGTGTTTCTTTTACGACATTACAACGTTATAATAAGAGACAAAGGGCTGCTGAACCTAATGTGCAGCTGCGGTTTACTCCCAATTATGCTGTAAATAAGGTGTTTTCGGACCAGCAAGAAGAAGTATTGAAGGCCTATTACAAAAAATGTGCTTTATTATTTTACGGTCTTTCATCAAAAGATTGTCGTCAAGTAGCGTATCAAATGGCAACGATTAATAATCTTAAAATACCACCCAATTGGGAAAAGGAGAAGTTGGCGGGGGTTGACTGGTTTTTTATCAAATTCAATGAGTCGGTTCTCACCTTAGACACTTCAGATTCTGAAATTTTTAAATTTCTCGGATCTCGATTTGGAGTGTTGCCTTGTAGTTAGAGTTGTTTGCAAACTGCTTTTGACCCAGGTAGACCAAACCAAATTTTCCACCATTAAGGTTTTATAAATTCTTTTTCACAGCTTCAGTTAACCGTTTGGGTACGAACACCTTATACTCCTCAAATTCAACCAAAGGTATTTCACCAAATTTGCTTACGATCTTAATCGATTTTATGGGGTATTGCTCTCCCTGAACCAATTCTTGCATCCTACGGACTTCTTTTTCAGCCACGACTGCTACAGCATTAACTTCAGTTAAAAATGACATACTAAAAATAAAAAAATAAATAAAAAAATATTAACTATTAAATAGGGTGGGGTGGTCAACAGTGGATCAGTGGTACACAGTGAATCAGTCCTTTATTGGTTAAACCATTGTACGTATGCGCTTGCGCGAGATGCACGTGGTAGCCAATGTGATCCCTGTTTGACTCACCTCACAGCCGAGCGGTTCCGTTGATGTTTAACAGTTGTATTTGTGCTTTACAGCCTTTATTTCTTAATATCAGGTAAGTCGAACTTTTTGTATAATTTTATAAGATCTTCTTTGATAGAGTTCTGGTTGTTTTCATTGTTTTAAAAAATAATTAACAAACGTGAGGGCACGTGAATAACAGGTCTTATTCAATTTATTCTGTCAAAACAACAATTTGAAAATTAAATGGCGGGTTGGTCTACAGTGAATCATGATCCACTGTGTACCTAACATTTTACATTTAAATATTTTAATGCAAAATTTTGTTAATATTTTTATTATTTATTATAATTTATTATAATTTTATGTATTACAATATTTTGTTAATATTTTATTGCAGAAAATGCCTCGAAAAAGTTTGGAGAGAAAGGTTGGAAAGCATACACAGGCCCAGATAGAAACCGCCTTTCAATTAATTCGAGATGGTTCGAGTATCCGCCAAGCTGCGAAGGAAGTTGGTGTTTCTTTTACGACATTACAACGTTATAATAAGAGACAAAGGGCTGCTGAACCTAATGTGCAGCTGCGGTTTACTCCCAATTATGCTGTAAATAAGGTGTTTTCGGACCAGCAAGAAGAAGTATTGAAGGCCTATTACAAAAAATGTGCTTTATTATTTTACGGTCTTTCATCAAAAGATTGTCGTCAAGTAGCGTATCAAATGGCAACGATTAATAATCTTAAAATACCACCCAATTGGGAAAAGGAGAAGTTGGCGGGGGTTGACTGGTTTTTTATCAAATTCAATGAGTCGGTTCTCACCTTAGACACTTCAGATTCTGAAATTTTTAAATTTCTCGGATCTCGATTTGGAGTGTTGCCTTGTAGTTAGAGTTGTTTGCAAACTGCTTTTGACCCAGGTAGACCAAACCAAATTTTCCACCATTAAGGTTTTATAAATTCTTTTTCACAGCTTCAGTTAACCGTTTGGGTACGAACACCTTATACTCCTCAAATTCAACCAAAGGTATTTCACCAAATTTGCTTACGATCTTAATCGATTTTATGGGGTATTGCTCTCCCTGAACCAATTCTTGCATCCTACGGACTTCTTTTTCAGCCACGACTGCTACAGCATTAACTTCAGTTAAAAATGACATACTAAAAATAAAAAAATAAATAAAAAAATATTAACTATTAAATAGGGTGGGGTGGTCAACAGTGGATCAGTGGTACACAGTGAATCAGTCCTTTATTGGTTAAACCATTGTACGTATGCGCTTGCGCGAGATGCACGTGGTAGCCAATGTGATCCCTGTTTGACTCACCTCACAGCCGAGCGGTTCCGTTGATGTTTAACAGTTGTATTTGTGCTTTACAGCCTTTATTTCTTAATATCAGGTAAGTCGAACTTTTTGTATAATTTTATAAGATCTTCTTTGATAGAGTTCTGGTTGTTTTCATTGTTTTAAAAAATAATTAACAAACGTGAGGGCACGTGAATAACAGGTCTTATTCAATTTATTCTGTCAAAACAACAATTTGAAAATTAAATGGCGGGTTGGTCTACAGTGAATCATGATCCACTGTGTACCTAACATTTTACATTTAAATATTTTAATGCAAAATTTTGTTAATATTTTTATTATTTATTATAATTTATTATAATTTTATGTATTACAATATTTTGTTAATATTTTATTGCAGAAAATGCCTCGAAAAAGTTTGGAGAGAAAGGTTGGAAAGCATACACAGGCCCAGATAGAAACCGCCTTTCAATTAATTCGAGATGGTTCGAGTATCCGCCAAGCTGCGAAGGAAGTTGGTGTTTCTTTTACGACATTACAACGTTATAATAAGAGACAAAGGGCTGCTGAACCTAATGTGCAGCTGCGGTTTACTCCCAATTATGCTGTAAATAAGGTGTTTTCGGACCAGCAAGAAGAAGTATTGAAGGCCTATTACAAAAAATGTGCTTTATTATTTTACGGTCTTTCATCAAAAGATTGTCGTCAAGTAGCGTATCAAATGGCAACGATTAATAATCTTAAAATACCACCCAATTGGGAAAAGGAGAAGTTGGCGGGGGTTGACTGGTTCCGATGTTATCGTCAACGGCATGCCGATCTAAGCCTTAGAAAACCGGAGCAACAGCTTTTAATGAAAACATTTTTTGACAATTTAGAAAAAGTAATTCAGCGTAGTCCAGCTTTTGCCGATGAAACTCGGATATACACAATACCTACCACAGTGCAGAAACCCCAGAGAGTCATTGGACCGAAAGGGCACAAGAACTTGTGCAAAGTCACCAGCGGTGAAAAGGGAACATTATGCACAACTTGCTGCATCATTAGTGCTGGTGGTCAAACATTGCCACCTGTCATTATTTTTCTCCGAAAAAAAGTGAATAACAGAATTACTTTTGGGACACCACCTGGAACGCTGATCCTGGCAACATCATCGGGTTGGATAACCAGTGAGCTGTGGAAGTAATGAAGCACAGCCACAGTACGCCGGACAATCCCAGTATATTAATAATGGACAAGCACGAATCCCACTTAAGTATTGAGGCGCTTGACTTGGCAAAAAAATCCGGGGTTACTGTCCTTACACTTCATCCTCATACATCAGCAAGAATGCAACCCTTGGATGTGGGTGTTTTTGGGCCGTTTAAGAGTTATTACCACAATGCTATGGATTCTTGGTTGATGCGTCATCCAGGTTGCCCAGTTACTATATACGTGTTGGAGAATTGAAATAGCTTTTACAAAATCAATGACCATAACCAACATAACTAAAGCCTTCAGGAAAACTGGAATATGCCCTTTTGACCGGGATATATTTTCCAGTGACGATTTCTTACCCAGCACTGTAACAGATCGGCCGATTCCAGCCAGCCTGGTTCCAGTCCAGCCTGCAATGCAGTCTGAAAATGTTGACCAAACGTCAGTTCCTCCAGTTGACGTGCCAACAGCTACTGTAACTGTTGACGATATTGAATTGACGTTGCGAATACCTGAATTGACTGAAAATTTAACCACTATTCGTACAAAAGGAGTTCATAATATTGGCGCAGGTAATATGGTATCACACGATGATGCTGTTGCCGGACCATCCAATTGCAACAGTAATTTTGTATCACCGGAACAATTCAGGGCGCCACTAAAAGCCAAACCTAGAGCCAACAAAAGAAAACCAAGAAAGCTAGGAAAAAGCATCATAGCCACAGACACTCCAGAAAAAAATGAAATAGCAACGGCCAGAGAAGCAACTAAAAAAAGAAAAGAAGTCAAAGAAAAAAGGTGAAGCGCTAAGTTTTGCAAAGTGATTCTGAAGAAGACTATGACGTTATAAAAAGGCATAGATACCTGAGTCAGGATGTCCGCCGCCAGGAGTTTTGTTAGCTCATACTTGCTCAAATGTGGGGATCGTAGTGTGGGATTTACTACTCGCAGTTCAAGTGTTAATAATGTGAGGACCGGATTCCTCGTTGGTTTAGACGTCAACCCGGATTTCTCAAAGTACTTTAACTTTATAATTCTTACTGGAAATGAAGTATTGGATGGAGTTATTCTGCCTGATTGCAATTTATTGGTTAGGATAGATGATATTATGAAGGGGAGGTTCGTTGGAATCCCTTTAAAACGAGAGACTAGGTTAAGAATGCACTCCAAGTCGTCTAAAGATGGGAAAGATCTAACCATATTTACTATGGAAAGAGTTCCTTTTGATTCGAGCTCCAGCGTTGATGATAGTGTTCTCACTACACTACGAGGACAGATTGGTGCTGTGGATGACTGGAAGATCCCAGAACGCAAAGATAAAACCGCCAGTGCCAAGCAACAAATGAAGAAACCCACGGTTACGTCAGTATTAGATGAACAAGCAAAAGAAAAGAATCGAAATCAAAAGAAGAAAAAACAAGCCAGAAAAGATCTTACAAATGCTATGGAGGAAGGAAAGTTAGTTAAAAACGTCACATCAAGTGGTGTCCAGCCATCTACTTCCAAGCCCAGGATATTGCAGGAAATTAATGAAGACTTATTCTCGAACAGCGATGCGCAAATAATCGCGAACTGTATTAGCGCTGACGCTCATATGGGTAAAGGGATTGCTAAATCATTTGCACTAACTTACCCAGACGATGCTTTACGTGGAAAAACGCTTAAGGTCGGGTCTTGCGAGATTTGCCCCAGTGTAACGAAGTTACTTTAATTTTTCCATATTTACCGCCGTCTGTACACCCTGTATGTAGATTTTCGTACAAGTGGATCTGCGAAGTCATGGTTCCACTTCCATTCTATTCAAACAAGTGGGGAGCTGCGCCGTTTGGTTCCCTGATGTCGCCATAGCGCACCCGAGATGATATAAAAGGCCGAGCAGAGCAGGGAGATCGGGTAGATAAACCATGTTTGGTTTTGGGCTGGCAGCAATAAAATGATATGCCGTTTACATAGTGCGGCCACAGGAAAACGTATCCGTGACCGGATAGTTAGCCACTGTCATTTTATCTAAGCACTCCCCCGCCAGGCGAAAGCCAGGACTGGGACATGGAGGCATTGCCCCTGACCCCCGAGCGTCCTGTTACTCCGAGGGTATCCAGGAGTACCTCGGCTGTACGAGGTCGACGGTCTTCTGCGGGTTCCCAGGGCTCCGAAAGCTCCCGCCGGCCCGACATGGAGAATACCTCCCAGGACGCCCGCCCCGTAGCTCCGGTTCCTTCAGTCGGCCCAGCAGCCGCTCCGGGATCCCGACCCCGGCCCGTCACCCGAGTCACCTCCCCATATCAGGAGGAAACCACGGTGGGGCGACATAATCTCCCGGTGTCCCTATTTGTAGCATTCGAGGAGTATGCCGCGGGGATTAGGACGGAGGGTGCAAACACCTACCTGCCCATCAACCTCGCCTCCAAGTTGTGTTGGAGGTGCGGGCATCCCGGACACTCCCGGACTGCGTGTCCGGTGGGGAACTACCCCATCCGCTTTTGCAGCGGTTGTGGACTGGTGGGAGTCCGCTCGACCGCCTGCTACGCTCAAAAGCGGCCGCCTCCCGCCGGCTCGGCTAGGAACCGTGCCAGGAGCACCGCCGCCCCCACCAACACCGCCGCCGCCATCGGAGCCGTTCCCGCCGTCACTACCGCCATCACCGTCGTTCCCGCCGTCACCGCCGCCAGCGAAGCCGTCCCCGCCGCCGCCGCCGCGGTGTCCACTCCCGCCTCCGGTGCCACAGCCACCCGTCCACCCAGAAGTGAGTATACCTTCTGCTGGAACTGTGGCATCCGGCTGGACTCCAGAATGGAGTAACCTGGGGTTTCCATGTAGGAGAAGAATTTTGTTATTTTGTTATTTTTTGGGTTGAGTTTTGGTTAGCAATAAAGTTTTATTTTCATTAAACATGGTGTTATTTAGAATTGGGTCATGAGAACGAAAAAAAATAAATAGAATTTCTTTTTTATCGAAGTAAGGGGGGAATGTAACGAAGTTACTTTAATTTTCCCATATTTACCGCCGTCTGTACACCCTGTATGTAGATTTTCGTACAAGTGGATCTGCGACGTCATGGTTCCGCTTCCATTCTATTCAAACAAGTGGGGAGCTGCGCCGTTTGGTTCCCTGATGTCGCCATAGCGCACCCGAGATGATATAAAAGGCCGAGCAGAGCAATTAAAACTCTCTCTCTTGTCTCCCGTGTTCCGGCTCTTTTGTTCCCGTCAGCCCGACCCCGTGAACCCGAATTATAGTAAGTAATGACGTCCCGCCAACAGTTATAAAGTATTTGCCCGTGCCCGAGCCAACGTTCGCCCCGTACCGCTCGGTATCTGTCTGCTCTGCCGTAGACAGTACCCAGCAGGCGAAACGGCAGGTCCCCGCGAGCCCGTCCCGTCACGGGACTCCCGTGAGCCACGATATGCTAAAATCCCGTCGAAGGCCCGTAGTATTTTCTTCCCGTAATAATTAATTTCATTTACAGCATTGGTTTATTTAATTGCATTTCCGTATCAATATTTGCTAGAAGTGTGACCTTCAGTTTTTATATTCATTGTTCCCGTTTTTTATTAATTTACTTTTGGTGTCAATATTATTTTATTTAGTTAATGTAATTTTAATATTATATCATGTTCCTATTACTTTAGTTTGTTAATTTAGATTCTTTTCATATACCGAGTGTTTCCTTATTGTTTAAATTATTATTTGCTTTGTATTGTTTGGATTTTTATTATTATTTCAATATATGTATTAAATTAAACCATTGCATTTTAATCGTAATATAAGCTAACTGACCCCTGGAATATCCTTTCTCCACTGTCTAAAAGCAGACCCAGGTACGTGGTGCTTCTCCACTTTAAATAACGAAGCTGGCGCCCGAGATTTTATAAGAAAATCCTTAAGGTAAGCTCGCGCCATTTTTAAATAACGTTACAAAATCCCGAAACAACGTTACACCAGTATTGATACTAATGTACCATCCAGGGCTTATCTCGTGACTAAAGAAAGATTCTGTGATAAGCCAACAGAGCTGAGCGTCAAGCGCAGTTTGTTTAAACTCCGTAATGCATGTTTAGCCCGCGGATTAAATAGAGTACGCATTCCAAAAATAGCTTGTGGTTTAGATAAGCTTACTTGGAAAAATGTTAGCCTTTTAGTAATATCCGAACTGATAGAGCATGGAATTAACGTAGTAGTGTGTTCTTTCCATCCGGTTCCTGAAACAATTCAGGTGCCTCAAGGGAGTGTGTCAGATGCGTCGTTGAATACGATAATCGAAAGAGCATTGTGTCAAGATTCTGACAATGACAATGATTGGTTTGAAGAAGACGAAATGGAAGTCGATGAAAACGTGTTGACTGAAGAGCGTTTAGAACAACCCTTAGCTCGTCAAGTAGAACAAGAAGAATTTGTGCTCGTACTATTTTGTACAAAAAAGCAAAGGGTTTTCTACACTGCGAAGGTTTTGGACATCTTGAACGATGATATGGAATATTATGTCAGCTTTCTTAGATTACAATTTAAATCGCAGCAACAATTTTGTATGCCGAATGTGCCTGACCTGGCGTTTGTCAAAGAACATGATGTAAGATTCATCCTTCCAAATCCAACAGATAGCGGTACCGCTAGGCGACAGTCTTATTATAAGTTCTCAGTTGATCTTTCTCTATTAAAAATGTGTTAATTATTTTTATTTTCCTATATTTTTATTTTGAAAATGTATTTACTTTTCTGTTCCTCAATATATTCTCATTAAAAATATATTGTGTTTCTATATTTTTAGTTTGAAAATAAGTTAACTTAACTAATTAGTTTTGCCTGCAATGCAGTCTGAAAATGTTGACCAAACGTCAGTTCCTCCAGTTGACGTGCCAACAGCTACTGTAACTGTTGACGATATTGAATTGACGTTGCGAATACCTGAATTGACTGAAAATTTAACCACTATTCGTACAAAAGGAGTTCATAATATTGGCGCAGGTAATATGGTATCACACGATGATGCTGTTGCCGGACCATCCAATTGCAACAGTAATTTTGTATCACCGGAACAATTCAGGGCGCCACTAAAAGCCAAACCTAGAGCCAACAAAAGAAAACCAAGAAAGCTAGGAAAAAGCATCATAGCCACAGACACTCCAGAAAAAAATGAAATAGACACGGCCAGAGAAGCAACTAAAAAAAGAAAAGAAGTCAAAGAAAAAAAGGTGAAGCGCCAAGTTTTGCAAAGTGATTCTAAAGAAGACTATGACGTTATAAAAACGCATAGATACCTGAGTCAGGATGTCCGCCGCCAGGAGTTTTGTTAGCTCATACTTGCTCAAATGTGGGGATCGTAGTGTGGGATTTACTACTCGCAGTTCAAGTGTTAATAATGTGAGGACCGGATTCCTCGTTGGTTTCGACGTCAACCCGGATTTCTCAAAGTACTTTAAGTTTATAATTCTTACTGGAAATGAAGTATTGGATGGAGTTATTCTGCCTGATTGCAATTTATTGGTTAGGATAGATGATATTATGAAGGGGAGGTTCGTTGGAATCCCTTTAAAACGAGAGACTAGGTTAAGAATGCACTCTAAGTCGTCTAAAGATGGGAAAGATCTAACCATATTTACTATGGAAAGAGTTCCTTTTGATTCGAGCTCCAGCGTTGATGATAGTGTTCTCACTACGAGGACAGATTGGTGCTGTGGATGACTGGAAGATCCCAGAACGCAAAGATAAAACCGCCAGTGCCAAGCAACAGATGAAGAAACCCACGGTTACGACAGTATTAGATGAACAAGCAAAAGAAAAGAATCAAAATCAAAAGAAGAAAAAACAAGCCAGAAAAGATCTTACAAATGCTATGGAGAAAGGAAAGTTAGTTGAAAACGTCACATCAAGTGGTGTCCAGCCATCTACTTCCAAGCCCGGGATATTGCAGGAAATTAATGAAGACTTATTCTCGAACAGCGATGCGCAAATAATCGCGAACTGTATTAGCGCTGACGCTCATATGGGTAAAGGGATTGCTAAATCATTTGCACTAACTTACCCAGACGAGGTCGACTCTTGCGAGATTTGCCCCAGTATTAATACTAATTTACCATCCAGGGCTTATCTCGTGACTAAAGAAAGATTCTGTGATAAGCCAACAGAGCTGAGCGTCAAGCGCAGTTTGTTTAAACTCCGTAATGCATGTTTAGCCCGCGGATTAAATAGAGTACGCATTCCAAAAATAGCATGTGGTTTAGATAAGCTTACTTGGGAAAATGTTAGCCTTTTAGTAATATCCGAACTGATAGAGCATGGAATCAACGTAGTAGTGTGTTCTTTCCCTCCGGTTCCTGAAACAATTCAGGTGCCTCAAGGGAGTGTGACAGATGCGTCGTTGAATACGATAATCGAAAGAGCATTGTGTCAAGATTCTGACAATGACAATGATTGGTTTGAAGAAGACGAAATGGAAGTCGATGAAAACGTGTTGACTGAAGAGCGTTTAGAACAACCCTTAGCTCGTCAAGTAGAACAAGAAGAATTTGTGCTCGTTCTATTTTGTACAAAAAAAGGGTTTTCTACACTGCGAAGGTTTTGGACACCTTGAACGATGATATGGAATATTATGTCAGCTTTCTTAGATTACAATTTAAATCGCAGCAACAATTTTGTATGCCGAATGTGCCTGACCTGGCGTTTGTCAAAGAACAGGATGTAAGATTCATCCTTCCAAATCCAACAGATAGCGGTACCGCTAGGCGACAGTCTTATTATAAGTTCTCAGTTGATCTTTCTCTATTAAAAATGTGTTAATTATTTTTATTTTCCTATATTTTTATTTTGAAAATGTATTTACTTTTCTGTTCCTCAATATATTCTCATTAAAAATATATTGTGTTTCTATATTTTTAGTTTGAAAATAAGTTAACTTAACTAATTAGTTTTTCTATTTTAAAATATTTGTAATAATCATGCTAGCTGATCCACTGTTAACCGTAGGCTGATCCACTGTGGACCACCCCTGGTCAACACTGAATCATTATGCACTAAAAATTTCATATTTTTTTTCATATTTTGCCTGTAATACAACAGAGTTTAAATTGCCATATTTCGATAAGATTATAGTTCATGTTACTCTACCTAAAATTTCAACAAACTTTATGTATTGTTTTCTGAGATATATGGGTTTGAAAAATTGGTGATCCACTGTCGACGACCCTACCCTAAATAACTTACGTTGTATGGTTATATGAAATATCACACCCAAAAATTGTTTTAGTTGATAAATTTGTACTGATAATATTTGCAATTTTGCACACCTTTTATATCAATTAACAATCACATTTAAGTAGGTCATATTGGTGCTTAAAAACCATAGGATGTTGATAAGAAGTAAAGCAGTAACCGCAAACTGGATCTGAAATATTTAAGTACGTCACATCGAATGTTCTAGAACTTTGGTTGTTAACAACAACAGGATGTTGCTAAAAATAGGATCTGAGGTTTCCGTTAATTAAAATTTTTGTTTCTAGAACTTTGGTGGTTAAAAACAACAGGGAGTTGATAAGAAATAAAGCAGTAACCGGATCTGAGGCTTTCTGTTAATTAAAATATTTGTTTGTTTGTGGTTATGCACGCGCAGTTACGTAGTTTCCTAGATAAAAAATGTATTATATAAAGAAAAATAATAATTGTAAATGCATCATATCTGCTTTAACATGTCAAAATATATAGGTAATAGTGAATATACTAATAGGTACACGCCTCCAGCAGATCCTGAGGCTTACTTTAGGGAAAAGTAAGTTATATTTTTTATATTATTTATCTTAATTATTTATACCTTTTTCTTTTAGCGATATAGTTACACCTCCGCATTTAGCTATTAAGTGGGGGTTAAGGGAGTGTGAGGAATGTAAAAATATTTTTTGTTTTTGTGAAAAAAGGTTATACAATTTTTTCCTAATTTAAGTTTTAATCCCCAGATTCGGTGATAAACTTGGTATCATCGGATTTAAAGTGCGATTCATCGTTAGCATCCTCGTCAGAGTCATCTCCGCTACCCCTACCGATATTAACACCCTCGCCAGATTCATATACGCTACCCCCATTTCGCTATCTATTAAAGCAAAATGAGGGGGTAGCAGACTTAGTTTATGATGCTCGAAGATCTGCAGCATCACCACCAGCATCAATACCACCAACATGGGTGCTTCAGAATTGTCAAGCCCCCAGCAAAAAAAGGGCGCTATGTTTATATAAATAAAAATTCAGCTTGTAAAAATTTATTTATAATAAAAAATTAATAATATAAGGTGCCTATTATTCCTGATGAAAAATGATCAGTTGTTAAGTTACTATCATCGAATAATCATGTTTTCAACTGTTAATTTTTTATTACTCTCTACATTTATAAATAACACATTATATGTAAATTTCCCCAAAAACACTCAGGATTGTTATGTGGCATTCAGTGTTGATAATTCAATGGTAAAGACTCAATGGCCAAATGGTTGGAATCCAATGGATGCAGCTCCTAGTACATTAAAGATACAAGTTAATGCCTTAGCAATTGGCTCTATATTGCATTATAAATTAAAATATATTTTATCAGCAGATGCTGGGAAGACTAGAACTCTAAAAAAATAGTCGAAACTTATAGCGATTTTATAAAATTTCATTATAAAAATCAAGAAATACCAGAAATCAAAATGAGAAAAGAAAATATATTTTCAAAATTTCCCAATGTTCTTTTGTATTCCAAAGACCTTGATGAAAATAACCCATATTACGAAAATCTCATAATTAATCAAGATCTTAATCAATTGAGTTACGACAATATCAATTTATATAATACTGTCTCTTTAACAAATCCTAAAAATCCAAACACATTTTTAGTAATTTCAAAATTATATCATTTTGACAAAGTCACCTATAACGATTTATTTAATTCCCTTCAAAAATTATGATCTACACTTTTGACAAATAAAATATCTAAGATATATTTAAAAAACCCTGTAGAGGAAAATAAAAATAATATATAACTGGATAAAAAACAAACACTGCTTTTGAGATCCACGAATTTATTTAAATTTTATTTTACAATTGTTTCGCTAACACTGTAGCTTCTTTAGAAATCATACAATTATGGCATTTTTGCAGGTTTTTTTCTTTTTAGTGGTTTACTAATCCAAACGTAAATATACGCGGCAGCGCTAGACTCGTTCTAAAAGAATGTCAGGGTCGAATTAGTTTTGTTTGTTTTCAGTTGAACCGTAGTAGCCGAAGGCGAAGCACAGTCTCTGTGAAGAAAAGTTTGTTTATATCCTCTACTAATTACAATGGCGGGTAAAAAATATATGACAGAAAAAGAATTGACCGAAATGCTAGCTCAAAGTGATGATGAAGATATTATGCATTTAGCTGCTGAGGATAGTGATGATGGCTGGGAAAACGAAAGTAATCAAGATACTCCAGGGCCTTCATATGCTCCTAGAAGCTCTTCAGATTCCTCAGAATCAACCCACTTCGACAATTCCGATTCTGAAGAGGAATCAATTACTTCAGGAAAAAGGGCCCGAAATAGCAAAAAAAAAACAGATGTATTTGTTTGGAAACAACAGGGTCTATCTCCTACAATTCACCAATTTGAAGCTAATAATCGTGGTTCAGGTTGCTCGCCAACAAACAATCTAAGTTCAACTAGCACAGAGTTTGACTGTTTTCAAGCTTTTTTTGGCGAAGATATTGTACAGTACATCGCGGATGAAAGTAACAAATATTGCCAATATCTTCTGATAAGGACATTCCTGATAGATCCAGAATAAATAGATGGAAAGATACAGATTTAAATGAAATTTACTGTTACTCGCAGTAAATTTTCTTATGGCGCGGGTAAAGAAGAATGTAATCCAAGATTATTGGGACTTATTGACATCTACACCTATGTTTCAACAAATTATGTCCCGTGATAGATATTTACTCTTACTGCGAATGTTACATTTTGTCGACGATAACGAAAATGCACCGGAAAATGACAAATTATGGAAAATAAGGAAAATTATTGATCACTTGAGAGGGAAGTTCAAAGGCAATTTTTATCCTTTTGAAAATGTCTGCATCGACGAGAGCCTTTTGTTGTTTAAAGGTCGTGTATTCTTTAAACAATATATACCCTCGAAAAGACACCGATTTGGGGTTAAGTTTTATCTACTGTGTGATTGCGAGACCGGATATGTGTTAGGGTTTATAATATATACTGGAAAATATACCGAAATGCAACCTTTGGATGACGTGCTGCTGAATAAAATGGGAGTTTCAGGAAACATTGTTC